GCATGAAGTTCAAATTGAGCAAACTTGATTTTTTTGGGGCTAATGGGCTATTATTTTAGAGTCCAAACGTGTTTTACACTCCATATGCACCTCAAGACTTGTTTATACACCTCCCTTTTATTTATTATTATTATTATTTTATTCATTTAAAGGTCAAAAGAAAATAAAATAAGACAAAGCTTATTACAAGAGTCCAAGCCCATAATGTGCTGACCTAATTCCATGTTATATATTCTCCTCAAATCAGACAAGTTAGACACGAAAACCTTGTGCTAAAAACCACTTCCAAAAATCACAAAATTATCAAAATTAGGGCAAAGCAAGAAACCTACTTGCAGCCGTTTTCAAAGCATCCAAACCATCCCAATCAATCCCTAAAGTGGTACAGGATAAGAATGGATCATCTTTGATGATCCAAAGGGCTCGAAATAACATCTCATGCGTCACCGGTTTCCCATATTGCATGAATTTACATTCTTGTTTTTCTTTGTGTTTTAATAGCTACTAACCTTACTAATGTGTTTATGAGGTATCAATATGCAGGAATGACCTATTATGAGAGTCTCATAATGGCCAAATCACAAACCACCATGTTCATACAACCTTGCATGATTTTTGTCACAACTCTTAAACTAGTGTGATTCAGCCCAAACTGACCATCCCATTAAATCTGCAGGCCTCCATTTAAGGGGTAGGGTCCCATTGGACCTCTAACACTATTTATTTCACAGGTTGAAAGAAAAGGCTCACTAGAGAAGACGACCAGAGCTAGGGATCAGACGCCTCTCCGGTCCATGCAACATTTTTATTTTATATATTTTTTGTTTAAGGAATATAATTGGATGTATGGTCACCCTAGTGGCAAAGGCGTGCGCGTTAAGGCATTGTTATACCAAGACGTGGGTTCGATCCATGCGTTTTGGTATTTTGTTTTGTTTTTCATAATTTTAGGTTTTGCAGATTATAAAACGTGCTTGGTTTCATTCTATAACACCAAAGTGCGTCTGGCGCAATGGTGAGCATGCTGGCTGGAAGGGTTGAGGGCATGGGTTCAACACCCAACCCTGGTAATTATTTTTTAAAAGCCTTGTTTTCTTATCACTATTACCTTACAAACCTTAAATTCACCAAACCAAAAACTTGTTTTCAAGAAATTAAATTTTTCTTGAAACCTTTTACAAACCCTAATTAAAATTAGAATTTAGTTTTATTTTATTTAATCAATCAAATTAGTTTTTTTAGGTTTTAATTTAATTGATCAATTCTTTTTTAATTAATTAAAAATAATTAGTATTTATGTTTAAATATCATTAAAACCTTTTTTATCGAAAAATCACCAAAAAACCATTTCCCTTTCCTTTTTCCTATTTTTCATTGTTGCGTGGTTTATTATTCTCGCATTTTTTACGATTAATGTAATTGCTCACAGTTTGTAATAGTAATTAGGTTTACTTTACCGTATTATTATTATTTTTGTACTTCTCCCAAAGCCATGTAATAGTCTAGGGTTTTATTTTCTGTTTTTACTATCCGAACATTTATCGCTTTCCTATTTTTTACTGTTACTGTTAGTAATTAGTTATTTATGGAAAGATTAAAAACAATCGGTAACTAACCCTAATCAAAGATGAACATAACTGAAAAAACAAAACACTCGCACACTCACACCTCTAGGGTAACCTCCCTGGTTGCCTTCAGAACAAAACAATCATGTCCCTCGAACGTGGGGGCGCTTTAGCACAGTCCCTCAAAAACAAAAATCATAGTCTCTCGATGACCCTTTCGATGTTGCCTTTGGTAAATGATCTAGTTCCTTAAACGATAAATTGCTAAAGCATCCCAGCCAATTGCCTTCGATGACTGTACGATGACCCGCGCCTGTCCCTTCATATCCAACGATAGGGCTTCTTACTAACTAATGGTAGGATAAAAATGTCTAAAGGAGGAGAAAATTTTCAATAAAGACCTTGAGTAGGTAGAATGCTCGTAATCGCCTGCTCACAAACATTTCAAAAAAACAAAATATTTCACACAAAACAGTTAAATTTTTTTTTTTAAAACAAACACTTTGTACGCATTCTCAAGAACAGAAATGAGAATCATTACAAAGTATTACCTTACAATTGGCATTTTCAAAATATTTTTCAAACACACAACACAAAGCATTTTTAAAAACAAAGTGAGCTAGCGATTAAGAGCCCGTAGATAACTACGGATGAAAAGGGTGCTAACACCTTCCCTTTTCATAATCTACCCCCCGAACTCAAAAATCTCGAAGGTCTTTCCTGTTCTTTTCACCCTTTCCTTATTGTATAAAAGAAAAGTTGGTGACGACTCTTGCTATCCGTAACATTTGTGATAAAACATAAAATTAAGTAAGTTCTCCCACCGTATTACAATAACCATTTAGTATATCTCACTTCGGAGATAAAGTTACATCAAGCAAGCCATGGACCGTCTCCATAACCGTTTTGTCTTTTTTAGGGATTGCTGTCTTAATCACTAAGGTACATATCATGCACTAAGGATCAATGTTTAATTGATGGCATGCCACACTCGAGTTTATTCCTGACATCTCACATGGAGAGGTTATGAAGAGGTCTGCATTATCACTTAAACATTCAACAACTCATTTCTTCACCTCGGTTGGAAGACCAATCCCTGCCTGAACTAACCGCGTCAGGTTATTATCAAGTTGGACGCCTATAAAATCCCCCATCGACATCGACCTTAAGCTCTTCATCTTTCCCCTCATCGATGGGCTAAACTCGTCGTCTTGCAGAATATCATTCTTTCGTACTTCGAGATTGACTAGATCAATTGCTTCATATGATTTCTTCTTTCTTTTCTCAGAGGTGACAATATTTTCCATGATGTTTTTATGGATGATCTTGTGTATAAGACTAGTTCAAGTAGGCCATCCTTAACAATAACTAGTTTACCAAATTGTTATAGTATTCATCTTCGAATGAACTACATAAGCCACAACGTCTAACATTTCCATGAATGATCTTTCAAGAATGTTGTTATAGACGCTCTTATAAGGGACTACAAGGAAATGCATGTTTACTGTCCTCTTGTTATTTCATTCTCCGAGGGAAACTGGTAGGTATATTGTTCCACAAAGATAAATTGAAGAATCATTGAAAGCTAGAAGGCTCATTCCTTCACACGACTTCAAACTCTTGCTCGCATAACCCTAACTTCATAAAGATCCCGAGATATATTAGGCCGCACGCACTTCCCTCGTGAATGGGGATCCATAACATTAAATGTTTCATAATAGTGACACGTACGACCAATGAAAGTGTCACGTTGTAAGCTTTGTCCACCTTTTTATGGTCTTAAAAACCCAAAGTCGTTTTATCCTTTTGCCACTTCTCAATTTGCATCATTGATTTATAGGAGTTTCGTTGCACATGGTCTCTCTTGCAAGGTAGTTTTGATTGATTGAATCGACAATGAAGATCAAAGATGGTCCAGATTTGGAAGGATCTAAGATGCTTTTAAAAAAAAACCGAGAGTTACTTTCTTCATCTCAACGTAACTACTACAAGAATCGTGAATTGAGTCAAACAAATTTAATTGTAGAAATTCGTAGGAATCAAAAGTCAATTCTCATAAACGGCGATATTATTCCGTTTGGGGACAAAAAATGAGTAATAAAATGGTGAAGTTGGATATTGAATAGGTAGAGCAAGCTTCGGTGCTACATAGAGAGATTTATTTGAAAAATTAATACTCTAATACTAAAATCAATGAAAAATGCAAAGTGAACGTGAGAATGATTTGTTATCATGCAATTTTGTTCTTTACACGAGGTTGTTTATATATAAAACTAAGTTGGTTGATGTGTCCATGACCTAAATCTTGATCTGACTTTTTCTTATTGGCCAATCTAAAAAATATAATTGCAATTAAATAATCACATCTCATAAAATAGTATTGCATTTTAAATATTTTTAAATTTTAGTGATTGTATAAAAAATATCGTTTTGTTTAAAATACAGGGAAAAAGGAATGTACACTAACAATGTAAAATATTTTTACAATGTCAATCAATAAGAGATATATATCCAATTAAATTTTATTTTTATTTTTAAAAAACTGATATGACATGACATATAAATTTTTTGATTAGAAGTATGTGTAAAATTGATTTACAATGTTTGTGCACTACCTTTAAATTCTAAAATGTAATAGTTAATATACATATTAGATAATATAAATTCAGTTATATTATCCGTCATTTAAAGTGATAATTTAATTAAGAGTTAATAGTCATTATCCCTTGTAATATATGTGAGTTTCGATTTACTCCGTCAAAATTTTTTTTAATACATTTCTTGAAATGTTAAAATTTTAAGTTTTTTGTCTCCCTAAGTGCAAATATTATCCCCAGTAAAATTTTTATTTTATTTTTATTTATCCGCTTTATTTCTACATGCTTAGGGGTATCTAAAAATAACAGGAAATAATTAAAAAAAATCCATTTTAAAAGGAGTAAATCAAAACTCACTTATATTATAAAAGAAGGTAAATAACTATTAATCTTTTAATTAAAAATTTTAAGAATCAATAGTAAAATTCGATATATATTACTTTTAGAAATTTATAAAAGAAGTTATTGTCACAAAAATTGTCTTCTTCTAAAAATAATATGTCATCAAATACTTTATGATCAGAGAGAATAAAAAAAATAAAAAATAAAGTGAGAATTGTTATTTTACGAATAGATAATATTTAGTATATTTAGTATATATGAGAAATTTAATAAATTGCTAAAACTAACTGTCGCTTACACCCTAATGGTGCAGATAGAAACAGTCGAGTCCAAGATACCAAGGCCCAAAGTTAACCCGGCCCAGTGTTAATTGTTTCAGAATCAGATATATAAAGCTCCAACTTTCAGTCTATCACATAGCGATTAGGGTTTTTGCTGATACCTGTTGCTATACCTTCCTCCGTAGCCTCCGAGTTCAACACAGAAGACCGCAGCCATGGGGTAATAAAACTCATCCTTGCACTACACTCTCTGCATAATCTATATTTCATTCTCATTCACGTTTTCTGCTTTTCCGTTCACAGATCGATGAATATCTATGCTATTTTGTGTTTTCGAATTTGTTAATTTGTATATGTTTATGTTGGATCTATGTCGAATTAAATTTTTATGAACCCTAGCACTTGTTTTGTTTTCATACTCCTCTTTCTCGATGCTTAAATGATGTATTATTGGCGTAGGTTGATTTATTTATTATGTATAATAGTTTATCTGTTTGTAGTTCATTTGGAATACCACTTTCAATTAATTTTGTTATCTTAAAGTTATGATTAATGTTAAATGGGTGGCTTTGTTTATGAAATGTGAATACTGGACTTTGTTGGTAACTGAGGATTCAGATAATTGTCGATGTTGGTATATGTTATGGAGTATGAAAGGGAAATTAAATGTTATGAATTTGTTACAGTAAGACACGTGGAATGGGAGCTGCTCGCAAGCTGAAGTCTCACCGCAGGAGGCAAAGGTGGGCCGACAAGTCATACAAGAAGTCTCATCTTGGTAATGAATGGAAGAAGCCTTTTGCTGGATCTTCCCACGCCAAGGGAATTGTCCTTGAAAAGATGTAAGACTAGATGAGATTGGTTTTTGTTTTGTTTATTTAAATTGTAATTTTGTTGTATGTATGATATGGAAGCTAATGAATGAATGTTGTGTTGTATGCAGAGGTATTGAGGCTAAGCAGCCTAACTCTGCCATTCGTAAGTGTGCCAGGGTTCAACTCATCAAGAATGGGAAGAAGATTGCTGCTTTTGTCCCTAATGATGGTTGCTTGAACTACATCGAAGAAAATGTTAGTTTTGCTGAAACTGTTATGGTTTTTTAGTTGTGTTGTATTAATATTAGTTCTGATCAGTAATATGTTGTTTAAGTGTTTTGATGACATGTTGTGTCTATTGATTTCAGGATGAAGTTTTGATTGCTGGATTTGGAAGAAAAGGTCACGCTGTGGGAGATATTCCCGGAGTTAGGTTCAAGGTTGTGAAGGTTTCTGGTGTTTCTCTTCTTGCCCTTTTCAAGGAGAAGAAGGAGAAGCCAAGATCTTAAGTTTGTTGAAGGCACTTTCATTTATTTAGTTTCCTTAAAGTATGAACAATTTTGTTTCGTGTTGAATGAGTTTTATGGACAGATATGTATTTCTGATTATTTTGTGGAACTTATTTTTCACTTAGGAATATTTACTGCCTTTCTTAATTGTGTTTCTGCTCTTTTCTCTTTTCTGTTTTGCTATTTATTTTTGTTCTTATACATGAATATCAGTCATTTTTTTACAAATTCTTAATCCGCATTATGTTTTAATGGGTTTCTAACCTGGTTTGTTATTAGAGTTTCTGGGTTAAGAATAGAGTGAAAATTTAGCACTTCTATGATCTACTCATCTGTATATACAATTTTATTAAAATAAAAAAAATATTTTTCAACAATAGAATTTTTTTTTATTTGAAGGTTTTTAATTTTTAGAACTTGGTTCATAAAAATTAAGAATTGTAGTCAAGGGTTGGTCTAATTACTTAATTTGACAAGTGTGTTTTAATTCGGAGTTGTCATTTTTAAAATTTTCTTTATCTTTTCTTGGTGGTATTCTAATAATTGGTGTGTAATTTGTATCAATTTTATTACTAGTAAAACCTTTCTTAAAAAAGTTTATATCTTGTAAAACTTTTCTTAAAAAAGTTTATATCTTGCTTAGTGGTTTCCCAAATGAGTGAGATCGTGTGTTTTTTGAATTTTTGTAACCATATTATTTTGATATCCATCAAATAGATCTTTCACATTTTTTGCTTTGTCCTTGTAGTCATCTCGATGAAGTTTCTTACATACCTTTAAAGTTAGGTCAAGAACATTTCTAAATACATTAACATTCACTTCAATGCTTATGAAATTTTCTTCTTTTCATCTCACACCCTTATCTTCGATCACATTATCTTATATCAAAATTTCATCTGCTTAGACTCAAGATACCACTGCAGATAACACAGCATATATTTCTTAGCTTTTATATCACATACAACAAATTACCAGTATAACAAATAAAAAACAAATATCATTTACATCTTTTCATGGACAATTCTCTTACCGTGTGAAGATCCAATTATAGGCATCTTTTACTCTTAAATTTTTTCTCTAAATAATTTCAATTGCTAATTGATTTTTTTTTTAAATTTTCTGAATTTTGGAAATTTGGTCTAATATTTTAAAATATTATTAAACTAGTTCTAAATATTTCGAATTAGTTACCAATAATTTTTAAATTTTGCAATTTATGTCTGTAAATTTTCAAAATTTGCATATTGAGCCATATTTTCCAAAATTTAGTTTTGACCGGAACTTTAAAAATTTATGAAAGTAATCTAAAATTTTTAAGGAATAATATTTTATTCAAACAAAAATAAATAGACCCAAGATTTGGATGATATGGTAAATCTATTAAACTCTTTTCCCATATGATGCACGTGACTACAAGGTCAGACGTCTCAGAAAATCGCCGCTGACCTCAGATTCAGATGCGCCGCTGTCTCAGAAAATCGTCCATGACCTCTCTTTGATCATCGCAACCCTCAATCTCAAATCCAACACAAATTACTTTGTGAATATTTGGCCGTACATATTCTGTTGTTCTATTGATCTTCCATTGATTTGAAGTGTGGAGAGATGAAAAGAGGGATTACAAATGCATCAAACCCGAATGGAATAGAAGAGAGTGTAAAAGATTTAATTTCCCGTGCTATCGAAACATTGAACGTCAAATTGATGGTAATCCCCTTTTTTATATTTTAACCCTAATTGATTTCTTATTATAATTATTTATGTTTGTGGTAATATTTGATTGTGTATGCGTGGTTGATTTCATGATTTTGATTTAGTTTTTGTTGTTTCAGATTTAGTGGTGTTGGCTCAAGCGAAATGAGCAAGATTCGCGGCGGTTTGGTAAGAAAAACTTCACTTTTTATATTTTTGATCTGACTCTGATTGATTTAAACTGTTTAGAGATTTTATCTCAAGGATTTGATGATTTTAGATGTGTTTTATTGTGATTGTGAATTTTGATTTGAGAATTTGATTTGCATTGTGTGATTTGTTAAATCAGTTTTTAGATCTGTAATATTTGATTTGTGTGCGTGTTATTTTTTATTTCAAATGTCTTTCGAGAGTATAAGATTGGTTCTGGTAGCTATGCCAAAGTGGTAAGTGTTTGTGGAATTACACTTTCCCTTTTCTCAACGAGCTTACTTTTCTGAGCCCATTCCTTGATAATTTATTGCAGACTCTTTACCAAAGTAACATTGATGGACTGCATTATGCAATTAAGGTAAGGACACTTTTAGTGTTAGCATGAAAACCATTTTATCAAAGGCATACTGCAAAATGTATGTCTATACTGTTATCAAGATAAGATCATTGCAGATGATTTATTGAAGTTATAACTTTTGAACTGCAGTCCTTTCATAAGTCTCATTTACGAAAGCGTCGAGTTTCCGAATGACAGATGTACTATGTGAGGTACATTTCTTCCAGTATCTTTCTTTTGATCACCAATAGAGGTTTTCCCCATCTTCAATCAAGATTAACTTTTGTCAACACTTTATATTCCAATTTGATGTTCTCTGTTTTGAGGATATTATGATTTTTAACTTTTGCTAACTTGATAGTTTAGACATTGTTTAGTGTCTATATTTTAGTTTAAAAGGCATGCTTGCTTTATTTTCAGGTACTTATCATGATAATGTTGGAACATCCTAATATCAATCTCATCGAGGTGATTGATGACCCAGAGTCGGACGACTTCTACATGGGTACTCATAATTAGTTTCTTATTGGTTTTTCTTTTTAATTATTGGTTTCACTACCGAAGTTTCTACTTATATGTTTGATCCTCAAGTTTGAATAAGAATCTTTCTTAAGTTCTGTTCTGTGCTTAATTGCTAACATTTACTTCTACAGTACTCGCATATGTGGAAGACAAATGGGTTTGTGAGGGTTCAGGTTGTCAATGTGCCGTAGGTGAAGAGACCGCTAGGAAATACATGTGTGATATAGTCTCGGGATTAACATATCTTCATGCTCATGTATTATCCCTCAGCCAATCATTTTTGCGTGTTAATGTTATCCATCACATCATTTATTTGTTGGTGGTTACACTCATTCATTTGAACATATTTTGAAATGCACTTCTGCAAAACCAATATTTCACTTTTTTAAACTAATTTTAGTCATTCATTTACTGCAGATCCAAAGATGAAAATGTTTTGTGGTGCTGCGGAAGTAGTCTTCTTTTGGAGGTGCTCCGAATTTGAGTTCTCCTTTCTTCTGTTGCTATGCTTTGGCTTGCTGATCTTCATACACTTTAGGCTGTGGCTGCTGCAGAGTCCGATATTTCGAGTTGTCAGCCGGTGATTTCGAGTTGTTAAGCTGTTTGAGTATGATTTTGTGCAATACACTATGCTTAAGGTTGGTATTAAATTCAAGAATCAACATAATCCTTTCACCTTTGCATGTTTCAATTTTTTTTCATTATTTAAATTTTAGTGCAATAGGAAAGGAAGTCTTCACTCACCAATTATGTTTCAATTTCGTTCTTTGCAGCTCCAGACAATCTAGATTAACCAACAAGACCAGGGATGAACAACCATGTCTTTGTTTCCTATGCTTATGCTCTTGCTACTTTTGTTCTTCTTCCTGTCACTCTTTTCACAAGAAGGTTCACAACTATTTATTTGCAATGTACTATTGAGATTTTAACAAAATCACTGTGCTATTGTGATATTGTAAAACTAAATGTGATTCTAAACAATGCAACTAGCCTTATATATAATTCATTTGTTAAACTCAATTATATAATTTCAATTTAGAGTATAGTGGCGCTGCCTCACACATTTATAAATCTAAAATGACTATTTAAAACCATGGTTAAACTTGTAATTATTAATTAATTTTGAAAAGTCCATTGTTAATGATCAAATTCATGTTTAAAATTCTAATTATTGACTGTTTGATGAAAATTTTCAGATCCGAGCTTCAAGTAGAATGTGTTTTTGAAAGAATTTGCGCACCCTGCAATGAGTCCTTTCTCTGCTGTTGGAACAATAGGTCCGACGTTTTTTCTTCCAATTACTATGTTTAATTTTGTTCTTCAGATGAGTTCTTTGGTCACAGTAATGTACACTGTTTTACTGCTAATGTTTATAATGCAAAAATTTCATTTCAGTGCCTACTATCTTCAAATATTGGTCACTGTGTATCAATCCCTATAATTAGTGTACATTATTTCATGAGAGCATAAGACCAGTAAGGCCAATATTTGTTGTTGATATATAGGAAGCAAGGTTTTAAATAACAGTCACGATTATGTAAGGATGCTAGATTTTGCAGAGAATTATGGTTAAATGCACGTGACAGAGCCTCAACCGTGGTTGCTTTGTAGTTTCATAGAAAATCCAAACCCTGATGCCGCATACCTTTATTTAGAACCTTGATATGAACTAGAGTTGCTGCTTTTTGCATTAATTTTGCTCCACTGTCAAATTACGCTGTTATAAATTTGGTTGTTCAATTTTTCGCTATAATTGCGTTCTTTAATTCTTGTTTTCATGGCGTTTTGATTTTGATAGGCAATGACTGTGATGGGGCTTTACGAGTCTGCATACTGGTTATCATGGCTAACCTGGGAAACAATTGTTACAGTCCTATCATCTATTCTCATAGTTCTCTCTGGAATGATGTTTTAGTTTGATTTCTTCTTGAAAAACAATTTCAGTGTTCTGTTCTTTTTGTTCTTCGTATTTGAACTCAACACGGTAAGAATCTTCTAGCTTTACCCTTTATACTTTCCGCTTCTTTATTGGGGTCTGTATTGGATTCTGTAAATTTGAAGGTTTTTTCAATCCCTAGCATTTTTTTCCCGTTTTGTTTTAGACTTGGCTGGCCTTCATGTTATTTGCTTTCATTCGTACATCATCTTCTGTAACAACAGTCGGCTTCTCCATATTTATTGTCGACTTTGTGACTCAAGCAAGAACCAACACTTCTTGTTCTTCCAGGACACGATTTATTAAATACATAAAGACAATGGATGCTCATGTTCTTTATGTATGTTATTTTATCTATTTGTAGCTTGTGGTACAAGCAATATTTCTTTATACCGATAACATCTCTGTTACTTTCCAAAATTTATGGTCTTTGTTTCCGCCTAATCCTTTTGCTCAAGGCCTGAGTATACTTTCAGATGCAATTTCAACCCCTGAAGATAATGGTCTTAGCTGGAGTAAATGGGGAGATTGTGTCGATTATATGAAGCTGACTGTGATCACAATTGTATATTTCAGAATGAGTGCTAGCAATCATGAGAGTAAGTATGCGTATGAATATCTGACCCTCTCAAGTGAGAGGGTGTCTATAGCACCCAATACTTGGCCAAGGTCTTCAACGATGGGTCACGGTGAGACCTAACAATGAAGATTGTCAGGGCTTATATGTGTATGGAGTCCAACACGTGGCCTCCTCTTTGGTCAACTGTCCCGAGAAAGCAGAAGCTGGACCCGTTATTCCCAGAGGGCAGGATGATGATGATGATATGGACATATGTGAAACGTCCTCCTAGCAGACACGTTGGGAAATGCCCAACGATTCTTAGATTGGGCTTCATGGTTTTGGCGTTTTGATAAAGGCACTGGATTGGACCTCTCCAACAGTGGGACAAGTGTTTGCCCAATTCAAAATAGGAGCCCCCAAGTTATTTCCCTTAGGTGAAAGAGTGATGATTTAAGTTTCAGCTCCACTGCCAGGGAAACGTTGCTCAAAAGGAGAGATTGCCCAACTTCGTCGGGGATAACTCGTTGGTTGATGTCGAGGATGCAGGAAACATGCATGCGGCATGGTCGACCAGGTCAGTGGGTGGTTCCTTGATTGACTTTAATCCTGATTTTGTTGGTTTGGTGCCTGTCAGGAATATACGTCCATAAAAAGCGAGGAGTTTTCCCCAAAATTCTTTTTTGACGTGCCCATTTATGAGGCGTTGCCTCGATGTTGAGTGTTTACCTCGCCTTTGGGAGAAACAACATAAATGTGCATGTAGGTAAGACTGTGTCATGGGGTCGTGCGTTTTTCTGCCACTGAGCCTGAAATGTCGCCAATTTTCCCTTATACAACATTTTATAATTTAGTCGGGGATAAGTTTGTCTCCAAGAGTGGTCACATGGTTGATTGTCAATCCCACGTGTCAGTTGTTTTAGGGTGCCATCTTTTCATAGGAGAGTTTAAAAGCCCAAAGTAATGATGACTTTTTGCGTGCTGCCTCGTGGGGTGCGAACCTTTTATAAAAAGGAGAATCCACAAGCTCATTTGCTATTCTCAAGCTCTTATTTTCCATTCTCAAGATCTCTTCTCCATTCTTCTTCCGTTGCTCGTGGATCTTATTCGTTCTAGCGCCACCGTAAAATACTTCAGAAAACATCTTTTCAAGTAAGTCTTATCTTCTTGATAATGCTTTTTCTCAGAATTTGTAGATTAAATACTTAGTTTTTGTCATGAATGAATGAATTCCTGGGTGAATATCCATGAGTTCTCTCGTGAATCGTCATGAGTGTTCATCAGAGTTCATGACTGCAGATGTAGATTCATAGGTGATCTTCATAGATGCGTGTCAGGGTCATCCTCCCCGAATGGCGGAAAGGTTTTTGGGTTGACCAAATGTCCCCGCACAGGGTGCGGTTCATTCTGAGTTGGTTGTTGAGGGCTTGGGTCGAGGTCCATTCCTCGACGCATTCATCTCCCTTTCACTTAATTTACGGTGGAAGGGTGAATTTGATGAAGTCGAATTCACTGTTTTCTCCTGCCTTTCAGGTACGATGGCACACCAAATCGAGGAAAACGCCATGCTTGCCACCCATGAGGACGACAATACTGTCGCGAAAGACCCTTTGGCTTGGGTCACGTCCGAGCCTAGGAACAAGAAGTCAATTTTCTCACAGGATGCTTCTGATGCGTTCAATAGCCCAGAGGTTCGAGCAGAGGGTGCTCCTGCCAATTGGGCCCTTCATATCCCTCATAGAAACAGAAGGATACACTCAGCATATCCGGGAAAACACTTTCTCATGTATGAATTTGCCTTTAAAGAATCGGGGATGTGTTTGCCTTTCAACAATTTCCAAGTGGGGGTTTTCCAATGGTTACAACTGGCACCTTCCCAGCTTCACCCGAATGCGCTTGCGTTCATGCGTGCATTCGAGCTCGTATGTCAATATCTCCAAATAGGCACCACATTGCTCCTATTCTTCCGCTTTTTCTATTTGCAAAGGCAGTCCATCGGAGGGGGACAAGCCTGAGTGTCTTTTAAACAATTTGGGAAACTCTTTTGCTCATATCTCAAATCTGTCCGCCACTTTAAAGAGATGTACTTTGTCATGAAGCCTCTCACGAATGCGGCTGTGGCTTCATTGTGTGATCGCTCGGAAGATGTCGAGGAAGGTCGGACAATAGTTCGACTGACGACTATATTTCCTCTCGAATGGCAGTGGAAGCATTTCGAGTAGAAGCCCGAGTATTATGCAATGAAACCTGAGGACTTAGATGCCCAAGATCAACTTTCCTACGAGAAGTTGGTGTCTTATGTCAGGAGTTTCACCCCGGCGAGGTGTGTGGACGTGGACAACAACTTCATTTTTGATGATAAAGGGGAGTATCTCCTCGTTAACAGACTGATATATACGAAAGCGCTGCTCGAATGTTCTTCAGACGAGGAGGCTTTGAGACTTTTAGGTAGGAGATATGCCCCTGACATTTATCTTTGTATGTTTCTTGTGATTGATGGTTTCTTTTTTTATTGCAGACCAGATGGCGTCCCTCTCTGAGCTCTTACCCAAGTTGAGGCCCAATAATGCCTCCACCTCGGGGCCCAAGAGTCGGGCTGTTTAACTTCAGGAGTAGGCCAAAACTTCTACCTGAGCAAGTGGTTCCCCTTCTTCGTTGAAGACTCATGCTCCTCCCCCCGAACAACAGGGAAATAGGAAGCGCATGGAGGACCCAGAGCGGGTAGTTCCCGTAGGTGACAAGGGAACTGGGGGAGTTTACGTGTTGCCTCCCTTATACCTCAATCGGGACATCTTCAGCAGAGAGAGTTCTCTAGGTCTCCGCGAGGAGGAAAGGGAAGCAATCTTGTCTAAAGATAAAGAGATTCGACAGAAGAATCTGGCAGACGACGTGGTCGCCGTGATGAGGATCCTTGAGACGGTGTTGATGCTGAACGATGAAGCCGTGGGCTCCCAGGCCTCCCTTGATAAAGCTTACGCCCGGATCGAGAAACTATAGGGGATAAATGAGAACCTGAATGGAGACATCCTCAACCACGAGGCGAAGTATGAGGCACAAGTCCAACTTCTCAAATATCTGAATGAGCTGCAGCCTCAACTGCAGGCCGCAAATAAAGAGAATAAGCGACCGGCCAGCCGGGTAAAAGAGCTGGAGGGGGTCATGGCGTCCGACGAGGAAGTGACTGACACAGAGAAATCCCTCGTAACTAAGTGAGATCTAATCGCGCAGATTCACGTGCTCGAGCAAGATGTCATAGATACTCTTAGTTACAGCTTCAATACAGCCGTGAAGCAACTCAAGACACTTAACCCCGGGGTCGAGTTAGTGGTCGAAGGTGCGGAGCCCTTTAATCAGGTAGTTGATGGTAAGATCTTTTATCCCCCCGATGATGATCACGTGGAAGGAAGTGATGAGGAGGACGGATTTTGAGATTCTTCTGGGCCTGCTTGCCCGCCTTTGTTTTAGCTTGGATTAGTGGCCTGCATGCCCATATATTTGTTTTGTAAATTGGACAGGGGCTTCGCCATTTTGCCTTTGTTTGGGTCTTCGTACCCGTATGTAACTTGTTAAATATTTGCTTGTCGTTGTGATTGATTTGTGTATTTCATGAAATTTTGTACTTTCATGAGTGGAGATTTGTGCTCAACCTTGGTTGTGATCGACACATGTTGGAATGTGTTGAGGAGATGAAGTGGAAATTCGGGAAACGAAGTCAAGACCACGATCGAGATCTTGACTTCGTGGCGTGAATTGCCCATCGCGAGTTAGGTGTTCTGTGTAACGCCCGTAATTTAATTAATTATTTAATTAAATTATTTTTGGAATAATTGTGAAGAAGTATTATTAAATTGGACTTATTTTATTAAATGGAGAAATAATAATATATTTGAGGTATTATATTATTATGTGAAATAATGTTAGAAGCTAATATTATTTAAGGTGGGCTTAATTTGAGATAGTGGAAGTATTAAGGGGGGTGTAGATTTTGAGCCCATTAAGGAATAATCCAATAATATTAGGCTATTTTATTATTTGTTGTTAGAATAGAAGGAAGAAACAATAAGAAGGAAAAATAAGGATTGTGGAAACGTGAAGCTGCTGGTTTTGAAGGAAACGGCAAGAACGAAGAATTCAATCTAGAAATTATAGAGCAACCTTCAATTCAAGATAAGGGTGGGGTTCTGGCTTTATAATTGAGTTAATGATATTTGATATGTGGGATTAGAGGATTGTTGTTTTTGTTATGATGTATGATGATGATTGATGATTTCTCGATGGATAAATGATGATATGATGTTGTGTAAACGATGTAGTATTAAAGGTTAATGATTAGGTGATGAATTATCATGGTTAGGATGAGGTTTGTAGGACTGTGATTATATTCCAGTAGTGAAAATACAGTAGAAACGCAGAAAATGATGCAGAAAATCGCAGGATGCGTCGACCTCAAACTGGATGAGTCGATGCAAGGAGGATGTTTGACTCAGGATGAGTCGATGCATGAAGGTTTGCGTCGATACATGATGGGTGCAAGACTCAGGATGAGTCGACCGGTACGATGCATGTGTCGATACATGCTGGGATTTTTAGGCAGGATGAGTCGATCCATAAGGAGGATGCGTTGACTCATAGTATGAATACGAAGCAGGATGTGTCGATGTATAGTGTTTTATGTCGATGCATACAGAATAATTTTTGACAGAATCAGTTTTTGAATTGCTGTAACTTGTTGTAGGATGTTGTTTGAGATGTCGTTCGAAGCGTTGATTAGCAAACACAATGATTATTATTTTAGATGATTAAAATGATGATTAGGAAGTGTAATTCCAGTAACTAATTTAGGACTTAGGATTCATTCCCGTAGATGACTGTTGTGTTGTTTTTGGACATAATGATGAATTTTGAGATGTTAGAGACTGCTGTTAGAATTATGACAGTAGGATTAATGACATAAGTGAAGTAGAACTGCAGAATAACAGTAGGGATTATTGTAGTATTGATATACAACTGAGTTATTAATAATATGTGATTATTAAAGCTGTGTTTGATAAATTATGACGAACAAATGATGTTGATAAATAAGTAATGTTTAACAAATTACTTTGAGATGTTTATGAGATGCTGTGATTGAGATATTGTTGTTTGAGATGACTGAAATGTTGTTGTTTTGATGATTGAGATGTTGTTGTTTGAGATGACTGAAATGTTGTCGTTTTGATGATTGAGATGTTGTTATTTGAGATGTTGTTAACTGAGTGTGTTATTACATTCATGTTGAGTCGCATACATTGCATTTTTTTTGAGATGGCCTGAATTGGCAAATTTTGAGATGAAGGCTATGCCTTATTTGATGCCTCTATTAATTGGCAGATTAGATTTTTGAGATGGGAGTTCTGCTCCAATGGTACCACATGCATTTGCATAGTTTTGAGTCGCATTTTTGTGATTGAATAATGAGATGTATTTGATGTTGCTGAATGAATATATATGTTGTATTTATTGTTGATTATGAGATGAGAAGTGGTGATGTGATTGATCTAATTTAATATATTAATTATCATGCGCTTTATTATATTGTTAGATATCCCACTCCTTCTGTTTGAATGTTGCCCTTATGTTGGTAACGTACAGGTAATCGAGAGTGAAGGTTGTATACCTTCAATAGATCGAGTTGGTGTCATTGCTCTGATATGTAACACTCAGGGGGATGAACGCTTGCTGATTTTTGATTGCTGAATTTTAGTTGCTGAATTTTGAATTGTTTATTTACTAAATATGAGATGTTTCAAAGTTGCTGTTTTATTTAAAAATGTTATTGAAGATTTCTGCTGCGTAGTTGTTGAATATTTTATGAAAGATGTTATGTTGTTGGTTCATCCAACGTTTTGAAAAAGTGTTATATATATCCATGTTGAATGCAATGAATTTATTTGAAGAATTTGTGACGTCCTGATTCGTTTGTATGAATGAAATTTTATAACTCTGATTTATTTTGCATAAATTGCTTGGGGTAGAATTGTGGTGTTACAAAGTTGATATCAGAGCAAAAGGTTGGTCCGACCTTGTTGTCGAGTCTTAGTTGTCTAACAATCGAGTATTGTTATTTTGAGTTCTAACAGTTGTTTGTGTTGTAGTGAGAAGTTAAGATGGCTGGAAGGAATGGTGCTGCTCTTGCTGCTGCTCTGCAAGCTATGGCTCATGTGATGGGAAATCAGTCGAATGCTGACGGGAATGCTGGATCTCGTAGCTTGGCGACTTTCCAGAGAGAGAATTCACCTACGTTCAAGGGAAAATATGATCTTGACGGAACATTGGAATGGTTGAAAGAGATTGAGAGGATCTTTCGCGTGATGGACTGCACTCCAGCGCACAAGGTTCGTTATGGGTCTCATATGCTAGCAGTCGAGGCTGATGACTGGTGGCTAAAGACTTGTCTGAAGTTAGAAGCTGCATGTGAGAATGTCACTTGGGCTGTGTTCCGTAGGGAATTCCTGAGAAAGTATTTTCCTGAAGATGTCCGTGGAAAGAAGGAAATTGAGTTCCTCGAGCTGAAGCAAGGAAATCTGTCTGTTGTTGAGTATGCTGCCAAGTTTGCTGAGTTGACCAAGTTTTATCCGCATTACGCTGAGGAAAATGCTGAGTTTTCAAAGTGTATTAAATTTGAGAATGGGTTGCGCCCGAAAATTAAGAAGGCAGTTGGATACCAGAAGATCCGTGTCTTTGCTGATTTGGTCGATAACTGTAGAATTTTTGAGCAAGACAACAATGCACATTACAAGATTATTAAGGAGAAAAGGGGTAAGCACCCACAGAGTCGTGGTAAACCCTATGATGCCCCAGCTGGTAAGGGTAAGCAGAGAGTTGCTCATGGTCAGAGGACTAGTGGGGGAGATGCTCCTACTGGTGTGATTTGTTTCAAGTGTGGGAAACCTGGACATAAGAGTAATGTGTGCACTGCTGAAGTGAAGAGATGTCACCGTTATGGTAAGAACGGACATATTGTATCTGAGTGCGAGCACAAGAATGTGTTTTGTTTCAATTGTAAGGAAGAAGGGCACATTGGTAGCCAGTGTCCGAAACCGAAGAAGGCTCAGTCTAGTGGTAAAGTGTTTTCTTTGGTGGAGGATCAGACAACTTTCGAGGACAGACTTATTAGAGGTACATGTTTCATTAATAGTACTCTTTTAATTATTATTATTGATACTGGTGCTACGCATTGTTTTATTGTTGCTGATTGTGTTGAAAGATTGGGTCTTGTGTTGTCTTCTTTGAATGGAGAAATGGCCGTCGATACTCCAGCCAAGGGATCAGTGACTACTTCTTTTGTGTGTGCTAAGTGTCCCTTGTCGATCTTCGACTGAGACTTTGTTGTTGATTTGGTTTGTTTGTCGTTAAGAGGTTTGGATGTGATTCTTGGTATGAACTGGTTAGAGCATAACTGTGTTCATATTAATTGTTATGACAAGTCAGTGAAGTTTTCTACTCTTGAAGAAGAGGAAGATGGTTTATTGTCTGCTAGACAGTTGAGAAAGTTGATGCAAGAGGAAGCACATATGTTTTCGTTGATGGCGTCGCTATCTGTAGAGACTCAAGCTATAATTGAGAAATTGTCGATGGTATGTGAATTTCCTGAAGTTTTCCCTGATGAGATTCCTGATGTACCGCCAGAGAGGGAAGTTGAATTTGCAATTGATCTTGTACCTGGTACCAGACCCGTGTCTATGACACCATACAGGATGTCTGCGTCTGAGTTGTCAGAGTTGAAGAAGCAATTGGAAGAGTTACTTGAGAAGAGGTTTGTAAGACCAAGTGTATCGCCGTTGGGAGCTCCAGTGTTGTTAGTGAAGAAGAAAGATAGAAGTATGAGGCTTTGTGTTGATTATAGACAGTTGAACAAGGTGAGAATTAAGAACAAGTATCCGCTTCCAATAATAGATGACTTGATGGATCAATTGGTGGATGCCCGTGTGTTTAGTAAGATTGATTTGAGGTCGGGTTATCATCAGATTAAAGTGAAGGATGAAGATGTTCAGAAGACGGCTTTCAAAACACGTTATGGACATTACGAGTATTCGGTGATGCCTTTCGGTGTTACTAATGCGCCGGGAGTATTCATGGAATTTATGAATCGTATCTTCCATACTTATTTGGATCGGTTTGTAGTTGTGTTCATCAATGATATTTTGATTTACTCTAAGTCGGAAGAAGAGCATGCTGAACATTTAAGAGTAGTATTGCAAGTTCTGAAAGAGAAGAAGTTGTATGCAAAGCTGTCCAAGTGTGAATTCTGGCTGAAAGAGGTTAGTTTTCTTGGTCATGTAATTTCAGGTAGTGGCATTGCTGTAGATCCATCGAAGGTTGATGCTGTGTTGCAATGGGAAACTCCAAAGTCAGCTACTGAGATTAGAAGCTTCTTGGGATTAGCTGGTTATTATAGAAGGTTTATTGAAGGGTTTTCTAAGTTGTCACTTCTGTTGACTAAGTTGACTTGTAAAGGTAGAGCTTTTGTTTGGGATGTTCAGTGCGAAGAAAGTTTTACGGAATTGAAGAAGAGGTTGACATCGGCTCCGATTTTGACGTTGCCTAATCCAGGAGAGTCTTTTGTGGTTTATTGTGATGCTTCCAAGATGGGTTTAGGAGGTGTGCTTATGCAGAATGGTAAGGTAGTTGCTTATGCGTCGAGGCAGTTAAGGACTCATGAGAAGAACTATCCTACGCATGATTTAGAACTTGCTGCAGTTGTCTTTGTATTGAAGATTTGGAGGCATTATCTTTATGGTTCTAGATTTGAAGTGTTTAGTGACCATAAGAGCTTAAAGTATTTGTTTGATCAGAAGGAGTTGAATATGAGGCAGCGGAGATGGTTGGAATTGCTAAAGGATTATGATTTCAGTTTGAATTATCATCTAGGAAAAGCGAATGTGGTAGCTGATGCGTTGAGTAGAAAGACTTTACATATGTCAGCAATGATGATTAAAGAGTTGGAATTGATCGAGCAGTTCAGATATATGAGCTTAGTTTGCGAGGTTACTCCGCAGAGTGTTATGTTGGGTATGCTGAAGATTAATAATGAATTTTTAGACAGTATCAGAGAAGCTCAGAAGTTAGATGTGAAACTGGTAGATTCGATGGTTGGGATCGATCAATATGAGAATAGTGATTTCAAGTTAGATGAGCAAGGTGTGTTGAGATTTCGTAACCGGATTTGTATTCCGGATGATGTTGAGATGAAGAAAGTGATACTTGAAGAGAGTCATCGGAGTAAGTTGAGTATTCATCCAGTAGCTACGAAGATGTATCAAGATTTGAAAGGTTTGTTTTGGTGGCCTGGGATGAAGAGTGATGTGGCTCGATTTGTGTATGCATGTTTGACTTGTCAGAAGTCAAAAGTTGAACATCAGAAGCCTGCAGGATTGATGCAACCGTTGGAAGTTCCAGAATGGAAATGGGATAGCATTTCAATGGACTTTGTGACGGGGTTGCATAGTACTTCGAGAGGACATGATTCAATTTGGGTGATTGTTGATAGGCTTACGAAGTCAGCCCATTTTGTTCCTATTAACATCAGTTTTCCAGTTTCGAAGTTGGCTGAGATTTATGTTAGTGTGATTGTGAAACTGCATGGTGTTCCTTTGTGCATTGTGTCAGATAGAGATCCAAGATTTACTTCTGATTTTTGGAAGAGTTTGCAAGAAACGTTGGGTTCTAAGTTGAGGTTGAGTTCAGCGTATCATCCTCAGACTGATGGTCAGACTGAACAGACGATTCAATCGTTGGAAGACTTGTTGAGAGCATGTGTTCTTGAGCAGGGAGGTTCGTGGGATACTAATCTTCCGTTGATAGAGTTCACATATAATAACAGTTACCATTCTAGTATTTGGATGACACCTTTTGAAGCGTTGTATGGTCGAAGATGTAGAACTCCGTTATGTTGGCATGAATCTGGTGAGAGTGTAGTACTTGGACCTGAACTTGTTCGTGAGACTACTGAGAAGGTGAAGTTGATTCGAGAAAAGATGAAAGCTTCACAAAGTAGACAGAAGAGTTATCATGACAAGCGAAGGAAGGATTTAGAATTTCAAGCTGGTGATCATGTGTTTTTGAGAGTTACACTTGTGACTGGTGTTGGGCGAGCGTTGAAGTCTAAGAAGCTCACTTCTCGTTTTATTGGACCGTATCAGATTTTGGAGAGAGTGGGGAATGTTGCTTATAGAGTGGCTTTACCGCCTAATCTTTTGAATTTGCATGATGTGTTTCATGTGTCACAACTTCGGAAGTTTATTTCAGATCTGTCTCATGTGATTCATATGGACGATGTGCAAGTACGGGATAATATTACGGTGGAGGCGATGCTTGTACGGGTCGCGGATCGTGAAATGAAGACTCTGAGGGGCAAAGAGATTGCCTTGGTTAAAGTGGTTTGGCTAGGAGCTGCTGGTGAAAGCATGACTTGGGAATTGGAGAGCAAGATGCGAGACTCCTATCCAGAATTGTTTGATTAAGGTAAATTTTCGAGGACGAAAATATTCTAAGTGGGGGAGAGTTGTAACGCCCATAATTTAATTAATTATTTAATTAAATTATTTTTGGAATAATTGTGAAGAAGTATTATTAAATTGGACTTATTTGATTAAATGGAGAAATAATAATATATTTGAGGTATTATATTATTATGTGAAATAATGTTAGAAGCTAATATTATTTAAGGTGAGCTTAATTTGAGATAGTGAAAGTATTAAGGGGGGGTGTAGGTTTTGAGCCCATTAAGGAATAATCCAATAATATTAGGTTATTTTATTATTTGTTGTTAGAATAGAAGGAAGAAACAGTAAGAAGGAAAAATAAGGATGTGGAAACGTGAAGCTGCTGATTTTGAAGGAAACGGCAAGAACGAAGAATTCAACCCAGAAATTGTAGAGCAACCTTCAATCCAAGTTAAGGGTGGGGTTCTGGCTTTATAATTGGGTTAATGATATTTGATATGTGGGATTAGAGGATTGCTGTTTTTGTTATGATGTATGATGATGATTGATGATTTCTCGATGGATAAATGATGATATGATGCTGTGTAAACGATGTAGTATTAAAGGTTAATGATTAGGTGATGAATTATCATGGTTAGGATGAGGTTTGTAGGACTTTGATTATATTCTAGTAGTGAAAATACAGTAGAAACGCAGAAAATGATGCAGAAAATCGCAGGATGCGTCGACCTCAAACTGGATGAGTCGATGCAAGGAGGGTGTTTGACTCAGGATGAGTCGATGCATGAAGGTTTACGTCGATACATGATGAGTGCAAGACTCAGGATGAGTCGACGGGTACGATGCATGTGTCGATACATGCTGGGATTTTGAGGCAGGATGAGTCAATCCATAAGAAGGATGCGTTGACTCATAGTATGAATATGAAGCAGGATGTGTCGATGCATAGTGTTTTGTGTCGATGCATACTGAATAATTTTTGACAGAATCAATTTTTGAATTGCTATAACTTGAGTTGTAGGATGCTGTTTGAGATGCCGTTCGAAGCGTTGATTAGCTAACGCAATGATTATTATTTTAGATGATTAAAATGATGATTAGGAAGTGTAATTCCAGTAACTAATTTATGACTTAAGATTAATTCCCCTAGATGACTGTTGTGCTGTTTTTGGACAGAATGATGAATTTTGAGATGTTAGAGACTGTTGTTAGAATTATGACAGTAGGATTAATGACAGAAGTGAAGTAGAACTGCAGAATAACGGTAGGGATTACTGTAGTATTGATATACAGCAGAGTTATTAGTAAGATGTGATTATTAAAGCTGTGTTTGATAAATTATGACGAACAAATGATGTTGATAAATAAGTAATGTTTAACAAATTACTTTGAGATGTTTATGAGATGCTGTGATTGAGATATTGTTGTTTGAGATGACTGAAATGTTGTCGTTT